TGTCAGTGGAGCTAATATCATTCCTCAGGAAAAGGACAGTCTCTTCAACCAATGGTGCTGGGGAAACTGGATCTCCACATGTGGAAACAAAACCCCTACCTTACATCTTACACAAAAGTCCACTCAAAATGGATCAAAGACTTAAATCTATCACATGATACCATAAAATTACTAGAGTAAAACATTGGGAAAATACGGCAAGACATTGGCATAGGAAGACTTCTTGGATAAGACCCCAGAAGCACAGACAATAAAAGCAAAAATGGATAAATGGGATTATATCAAGCTAAGAAGCTTTTGCACAGCAAAGAAAATACTCAACAAAGTGAAGAGGTAACTGACAGAATGGGAAAAAATATTTGTAAGCTTTCCAAGTGATAAAGGATTAATATCCAGAATCTATAAAGAGCTCAAGAAATTCAACCACTACAAAACAAACAATCCGGTTAAGAAATAAGCACAGGACTTGAACAGGCATTTTTCAAAGGATGAAATACAAACAGCCAACAGACACATGACAAAAATGCTCAGGCTCACTACCCATCAGGGAAATGCAAATCAAAACCACAATGTTTCACCTCACCCCAGTTTGAATGGCTATCATCCAAAAATAAAAAATAAATGCTGGCAAGGGTATGGGGAAAAAGGTACCCTAATCTACTGTTGGTGGGAATAATGTAGAAATCACTATGGAAGACAGTATGGAGATTCTTGAGATCTGAAAATAGATGTACCAAATGACTCACCTGTCCCATTCCTGGGAATTTGCCCAAATGAAATGAAATTAGCATATGAAAGTTATCTGTACCCCCATGTTCATTGCAGCTCAATTCACAACAGTTTAAGATATGGAATTAACCCAGGTGTCCATCAATGATGACTGGATAAAAATGTGGGAGTCAGTGTTGTGGCATAGTGGGTAAAGCTGCTGCTTACAGTGCTGGCATCCCACATGGGTGCCAGTTCGAGTCCCAGATGCTCCATTTCTGATCCAGCTCCCTGTCAAAGTGCCTGGGCAAACAGTAGAAGCTAGTCCAAGTCCTTGGGTCCCTGCACCTACATGGGAGACCCAGATGGAGTTCTAGAATCCTGGCTTTGGCCTGGCCCAGCCACAGCTGTTGTGGCCATTTGGGGAGTGAACCAGTCGATGGAAGATCTCTGCCTTTCAAATAAACAAATCTTTTTAAAAATGTTGTATTTATATACTATAAAATACAACTCATCCATAAAATTGAATGAAATCCTATCTCTTGCAATGAAATGGATGTGGCTGGAAACCATCACGCTTAGTCAAATAAGGCAGTCCCAAAAAGACAAATATCATGCTTTCTCTGATATATGGTAGCTAATACAGAACACAAAAAATGTATAGGAACAAAATTGACACCTTATGATTTGATTGTTGTCTTTAGCCCTTGTTTACACTCCTGTGGAACTGGCTTTCTGCTTTCTCCTTGTTGGATATTATGGTTAGTGGTGCATTAAGCCTGTGATTATGGACTAGACTGAAATTGTTTTTGTAGGCCGGCGCCGCGGCTCACTAGGCTAATCCTCCGCCTCGCGGCGCCGGCACACCGGGTTCTAGTCCCAGACGGGGCGCCGGATTCTGTCCCGGTTGCCCCTCTTCCAGGCCAGCTCTCTGCTGTGGCCAGGGAGTGCAGTGGAGGATGGCCCAAGTGCTTGGGCCCTGCAGCCCATGGGAGACCAGGGTAAGTACCAGGCTCCTGCCATCGGATCAGCGCACTGCGCTGGCCGCAGTGCGCCAACCGCAGCGGCCATTGGAGGGTGAACCAACGGCAAAAGGAAGACCTTTCTCTCTGTCTCTCTCTCTCTCTCTCACTGTCCACTCTGCCTGTCAGAAAGCCACATGTGCCTGACTAGAGATTGTGTTTTGTAAAACTTTTAGAAAAACAAAGGAAGAAAGGAGGGGGACTGAGAGAAATAGAAATGTGGTTATCTTCCTAGAACTGTACCTATGAAATACATGAAATCTGTTCTCTTTAGTTTTTATTAAACTAAAAAAAAGACCTCCCACCAGAACCGCCTCTCAGACTGCACCCTTACTACTGAGTCATTACAGCTGAAGCGTGAGTTCTGGGAGATGAGCCCTACTTCACACACTAACATCCAAACATACATCCAACAAAGGACTTCTACACAGAGTATTTAAGGAACTCTTACAACTAACTCTAGGACAGCTAAACAGATCTGAATGTCTCTTATATGAGTGCTTTTATAGGCAAACTCTAGGAGACAAATCAGGAACTTAACAAACTCACTGAAATCATTTTTGAAGTTATTAAACAGTTGTAAAACCACTAAAGCATCTTAGGAAAAAAAAAAAACAACATATCATGCATTCACCTACCTTTGCCAAGCTCAAATAATTGATCTCTTTCAATGTTTATCACTTACTGTATGACAAAAATGTATTTTTTCACCCACCAAACCTGGGGGGAAGAGTCCAAATTCTTGCTAAACAGAAGTGAGTACAACGTGCTGCTTGCTCCCAAAGCGCAGCTATTAGGCTTCGGTATCATTACGGGATGCTTTTTAAAAGCCCTGGCTGAGCGAGAGCACAGGCTTGTCTAGCGTCCAGTCACCTGCACTTTAAGGGTGCATGGTTAACCTCTGGGAAAAAGGGCTGGTGCTGTGGCACAGGTTTAGCCATTGCAGAGCCAGCAACCCTTGTGGGTTTCAGTCCCCGCTGCTCCGCTTCAGATTCAGCTCCCCGCCAATGTCCCTGGGAAAGCAGCGGAAGATGGCCCCTGCACCCATGTGGGGGACCCCGTGAAGCTCCTGGTTACTGGTTTTGGCCTACCCCAGTCCTGGCCACTGAGGCCATTTGGGGAGTGAACCAGCAGATGGAAGCTCTCTTTCTTCCATTCCCTGTAACTCTTTCAAATAAGTAAATAGATCTAAAAAGGAAAAGTAACACTCAAAAGTAACTTTTCAATAGCAAAAATATACTTTAAACACACACACACAACTTATTTGAAAAATCAGTTAGAGACACAGGGAGATCTTCTATCCCCTGGTTCACTTCCCATATTGGCCAGGGCTGATCCAGGTTGAAGTCAGGAGCCAGAGGCTTTATCTGGGTCTTCCACATGGGTGGTAGTGACCCAAACAAGATCTGCTACTTTTCCTAGGCCATTAACAGGGAGCTGGGTAAGTGGGGCACCTGGTACATAATCCTTTGCAAACATAGATGCTGCTGTTGCAGGTGGAAGCTTTACTTGCTAAGTTTCAATGCCAGCTCCCTAAACATAAATTCAAGGAACCAGTTTTCTCAATATTTTAGGGAAAAATCCAAACATTAAAAACCCCCAAAACCCAGAAGCAACTGAGGAATGTAAACCAAAAATGACATGCTGCCTTAAAAACTTAAATTAAGTGCCATATATAAAATCCTTTTCCATTTGTAATGTTTACTGTGAAGAGAGCACTTGCATGGTGTCCTTGAACTTTTTGCTCTTTAGTAGCTCAATTCCAGCTTCTTGCAGTATTTCTGTGTTTGCAGAACTAAGCTACACTTCAAATCTAGTATTTCCACATCGTGACTTTTTTCCTTAGTCAAAATCTCATTTTTTTTCATTTTAGTTTCTGCTTATTGGATTTTCTCCTTTAAACAAAATACATACTTCACTTAACAGTCACCATATTCTCATTCTCAACCATTTCCGCAAGAAACATCAGCTGGGGCTGAACCCAGCTGAAGCCAAGAGCCAGGAATTTCATCTGGGTCTCCCACATGGGTGCAGGGGCCCAAGTTCCTGGGCCATCTTCCACTACTTTCCCAGGTGCATTAGCAGAATGCTGGACTGGAGGTGGAACAGCCAGGACTTGAACTGGCACTCAGTGGAATGCCAGCATTGCAGGCAGTGGCTTAACCCCTGTCACAATGCCGATTCATTTAAGAACAATTTAATAGGTACTGTATATTAAAAGTTCTAGTTTAGAGAAAATATGAAACAGCTTCTCCCCAGCTGTGACACCAAAGTACCCTATGTTCTGGCATAGTACACCTGTAGAGCACACCTAAGACCTTATAAAAACCCCTCTGGGCTGGCGCTGCGGCTAAGCTAATTCTCCACCTGCGGCGCCAGCAGCCCAGATTCTGTCCCGGTTGCCCCTCTTCCAGTCCAGCTCTCTCTGGCGCGGGAGTGCAGTGGAGGATGGCCCAAGTGCTTGGGCTCTGCACCCGCATGGGAGACCAGGAGAAGCACCCAGCTCCTGGCTTCAGATCAGCGCTGTGTGCTGGCTGTGGTGGCCATTGGGGGGTGAACCAACAGAAAAGGAAGACCTTTCTCTCTGTCTCTCTCTCTCACTGTCCACTCTGCCTGTCAGTCAACAAAACAAAACAAAACCCTCTGAAGACATTCATTTCTGGTGTAGGGTAATGTGGGCCCATTTCAAGAAAAAGGGAAGCTCTTCATATCTTAATGCCAAGACTTGAATTTCATGAAGATCTGAGTATCTGAGGAAATACCTTTTGTTTAAAGTTTTGGAGAGGAAAGTGGGGAAAATTTATAATTACTTCTACCTTATTGAATGCTTTCTCTGTGCTAGGTACAAGGGTCAAAGAAATAAACAAGATTTTAGTTTTTGGTTTCACGGATCTTACATTCAAAACTAGTTAACTAAGAAATAATGAGGGGCCGGCACTATGGCATAGCAGGTAAAGCCACTGCCTGCAGTGCCGGCATACCATATGGGCATCAGTTAAGTCTCGGCTGCTCCACTTCCGATCCAGCTCTCTGCTATGGCCTGGGAAAGAAGATGGTCCAAGTGCTTGGGCCCCTGTACCCGCATGGGAGACCCAGAAGAAGCTCCTAGCTTCAGATTGTCACAGTTCCAGCCATTGTGGCCAACTGGGGAGTGACCAGCTGATGGAAGATACCTCTCTTTCTGCCTCTCCTTCTCTCTGTGTAACTCTTTCAAATAAATAAATAAATCTTAAAAAAAAAAAAAAAAGAAAGAAATAACGATACACACAGTAAACAACTTAGAGACTTTATTTGGAAAGTAGGAAGTAAAAAGCATGATTCTAACATTTAAGATAGGAACAAAATTAGAAAAAGTTAAACTACAGAAAAGGCAGATACACTGAAGTTGGCTTAATGGCTATGCAATCCAAACAAGCAGACCCAAGTTTCTTTCATGCAAATAAGCATTAAGAGTATGGGAATGTTCACAGAACAAGTCACAACAAATATTTTTAAAATTTACATAATTATACATAAATGAAAAAATAAATTAGGAAATTTACAAGAAATGTTTACAGGTTACAATAGTGATAACTTAGCTTATTATGAATAAATCTGTAGCACATCATACATTTTTACATCAGATTCAGTGTTAGAAGAATTAAGACATGACAAAGCTTAGACTGGACAAGAATAATACAACAGACAGAATAAGGCAACTTAAGCTGAAATGGCATGTGTAAGTACAATTAACCCCAAATTAAAGGATTCTAAATTGGGACATTAAAACATATTCTAGGCATGATTTGGTCAAAAACTGGGCTGAATTAAGACAAGTACCATTCAACTTCAGTAATAAAGTCAGGAGTTTTGCTGTAGTTCAAATAAAAAATAAAAATGTATAATGTCTACAAAACTGTAAAACCATCTCATCATCACTTATACCCTAATGCCATTAATTATATTTCAGACAAGTAAAGTAGGCTATTAGTGTGGGTCCATAAAGTTACCTTTTATTTCTAAATGCTGTAAACTCTAAGAGGCCACTCAAAAAAGTGGCAAATTTCAAAATGGCTTCAGTATCTGTGACAACCACTGCCTGACCTCGTATGATGGTCAAGCAACGCTCATACATACAACCAAATAATTTCAAATGTACATTATTTATGTATATCTTACAAATTACAAAAAAACTGAAATGTTTTCCTTGAAAACTCTTGGAACGGTTAGCACTGCAATGCATGAAGAATATTTAGAAACAGCAAGCAAAAAAAAAAAAAAAAAAACCAGTAATATGCTAGGATTGAATTAGTTGCACATTTACACATTTCAAAATCTTGATTTTTAACTTCATTCAATCCTTTGAAAAATACATTCCTCTTTAGTCTATTTAAACAAAACCAGTGGCAGCCGTGGCCAAGAAAAAAAAAAAAGAATAAAGAAAAAAGAAAAAGAAAACCTAAAAAATAACCCTTTGGTTACAGAAGGAGCTAGAATGTAATTGTGGATAGTCTTAAAACAAAAAATTCCTCCCCAGCCACATGGTTCAGCACTAACTGTGGTACCTGAAATCTCAGCATCAGCTCACAACTACACGTTAATAGTAAGGCAGGAATGTCAGACACAGTCGCTTGATTATTCTCAGGCAATCCCAAGGACAAAGTATTTTAGGTCTTCAAGATATCTGATGTGGTAATTTATGGTATTTCAACTTAACTTGCAGGTGACTAAACTTGTCTTATAATTTTTGCTGTGAACTGTGTTTGATGAAAGCAATAATCAATTTCAGGAGGGTTCATCCCATATTTATCTTCATAAGGCCCACAAACAGCAAATAAACTCTAAGAAAAGGCCCACTAAAAAAATCCCTTGTGTATCTAAGATTCTAGCATCTTCAAATTCAGTGGGATTTTTTTTTTGTACAATGTGAAAGTTATAATGCCCATATAGTTATGAAGTTAACTGTAAAAATTCCAGATATCTTTACAGATTATAATATGTACACACACATGCATTCACTTACTTTTACATACACATACAAAAAACCCTTCACATTAAAGGTATATTTACTTGGTCATTATAGGCAATAACATAATATGAGAGAACCAATATTCTATTAGTTTGGTGAGGATACAAAACTTAGTACCTATTAACATTTACAAATAAAAATGATAAATAACTGCAAAATTTAACTCCAAAACATGACACCAACTATCTAAAGAAATTATTTAGCCATTCCAAATACTGCCACAAATTAATCAATTTGTTTCTCAGGATCCTGATGATAACTAAGCCATTTCCCACTGTAATAAAACAATTCCCTCATTTTACAAATAAAGAAAATGACATTCAAAAAAAGTTACCACTGTCTGGCACTATCTGTAATACAACACCAAATTATGACCCTGTCCACTGAATACACAAGACAGATAATGCTAACAGTAGGGATCGCTTTGACAAGTGGCAATACGTGTACCTTCAACAAGTGGGAATTTCTCAAAATTTAGACATGGCAGAAAAGCAGGAATTATTCACTTATTACACCATCACTTTTACTGGGCTATTAATAGTGGAAACACTAAAGGAAGAAAACTACTTTTGGGGGCTTCACCAACCATCACTAGGCTCAGTACAAAATACAGGACAATTTACTCTTGAAAACAGGCAGTGAAACAGATAATGCTTCATCTAATGACAGAAACAAAGTTTGGTTGAATTCCTTCAGTATTAAACACACAAGAATAAACAAATTATCAGGAAACAGGACATTATTGATGTTTCATGGCAATCACCTTAAATAAGGTCAGAGTATTATTACAAAAAGGCATATATTTCTAATATTCAGTTTACACACACCACAAAACAGTTAAATCAAATGCAAAACAACATACACATTTTCATTATTCTTTATCAGTTTTTACATGGCTTTAATGGAGAATTCCTAAATTACATTCTTAAATGCAATAGACTAAAAAGCATATAAAGTGCTCAACAGAAACACACACACGAAACGAAACATGGAAAAATTTAGCTTGTAATAAGCAGAGTGGTTATAAAAGATATTTAAACTTTACTACCTAGCTAAGCTTTCAACCAAGAACACAATCTTAAAAAAATTCAAGGCAAGATATGATGGATTATTCTTTGAAGGCAAGAATTACACTAGAAAAAGAAGAAAACTTTTCTACTTTGAGCTACATCATTCTACTTACAAAAATGGTCTTTCAGAAACTGGAACTTACAATATAGCCATCAGATGAGCACTCAAAAGTAAAACAAAAAACAAAAACAAAAAAATCACCAAAAACTCAGGAATTTTTATTTAGCCTAGCCTAATACTTGGCAAATAACCTCAACTTCTTTAAAGGGCTTTGAATTATCAAGTGTATTCCTGGTGATTTCAAGTGTACTGACCCCAACCTAAGTCCACCTCACTTCCTCCATATTCAAATTTGAGTAGCTGGGCAAGAACTTGCCGTGCCAACTTACTTGACAATACTACTCATTCTTTTGTCTTTGAAGACATCTGGGTGCAGAACTAATTTAGAAAGTCTCTATTTAAAAGGCAATCTTCTCTGGGGACAGGGGATGGTGGTGCTAATTTTTATGTCATGTGTTTTCCAAGCCCCAAAGCAAACTGAGAGTGCTCTTTGCATTTGAAAAAGTTAATATAATTTTTACAAATGAAAATTAAGCCTACAAATTATAAATAACTTTCATAACCTTTTTAATACTCTAAAGTTACCTGCTCAAAGTTAATTAGAATTTTATAAACTAAATCATTAGAACCATCAAATTTGTTTCACTGAAGGAAATACCTATTTTGGAGATTGCTGGCAACTGGTAGGATTGTCTTGGGCAATTTTATGAGCATCATAGGAAAAAATGATACACACTACAATGACATGGCAGGATGCCAACATAAGAGTTTGGGAATGGTCAGAAATACAGCTTACTCCTTCTTATCTATTTAAGAAATAAGGTTCCTAATTTTTTCTCTATCAAATATTCTTCTAAAAGCCCAAATTCAGCAAGTTTTCATACAACTATGCTGTCTCACCTAGCAGACATTACCCATGTACAGCTACTGAAATCTGAAATGTGGTCAACTCAAATTGAGATGCCGGAAGGGTAAAGCACACATTTTTAAAGACTAAGAGTGGAAAAGGGTAACATATTTTATATTGAAATAACATATTTAGGTATTAAGTTAGATAAAAATATATAATTAAAAAAATTTCACATTTCTTGTTACTTTATGTGTTTACTAGGAAAGGTAAAATCAGATCCAAACCTATTTACCACCGCACGCTAAAAGGAAATTTCTGGAGATCATAATACAAAAAACAGAATCTTGGTAGCCTTCTTCACAATTCTATATTCCTATCCTAAGAATTTTACATTTTGTATGCAAAAGACCTAAGACCAACAGTGGTGAGATGGTTGTCCAGTTTACCTGTATTTAGCAGTTAATTTCAACTTCAAAGGACAAAATGTACGAAATCATTTTTTTTGTTCAGTATTATAGTGACTAAATTAACTTAGACTTTGTCCATTCCATTGCTTTTCTGAAAGAGACAGCCTTAAACCTATAGGTAATGATGTACAGAGTTTGCTATCAGTATAAATAAGTCTGGTAATTACTTTCATTGAATAAGATTTCTATCTGATGGCCAAATCAGAAACTTTTAAGATAGATCAAACCACTGACATTTTGGCTGAAAACACCCAGTCACTGGAACAGAAAAGTAAAAGCAAGAAACACGAAAGCATCACTTCAAACTGATTATTGACTGGTATGAATTCAAAGTTCCAAACGGTTTAAGTTACTGCTACAGGCGTTCCCCTTTATATACTCACTCCTATTATTTATATGTTCATGTCTGCAGGAAATTAAAACTGGATTTTAAATGCTTGAACAAAAATTTTGAAAATTATACAGAGAAATGTTTTTATCAAGCACCTCTTAACAGTCTAATGAAAACTGCTCTGTACTGAACAACACTATGTTCTGTAAAAGCACAAATGCTTCCTTCATAATGTAAACAACTCTCAATTTCTTCAAAGTACATCCAGATCTACTGGTAATTTACAGAGGTGGGGTTCCTCCTACTTCCTAAACCATGACCAAGACTGGAATAACTTCACCCAACTAATGGACCTCCAAATGTTACTGCCAATGTAAAAATCTGAAAAAAATCTCTAACATTGTAAAAAGTTAATCCAAAATACAGAATAAATTTCAAGGTAGCAGGATTTACAAATCTGAGAACTATAATGCTTTTTTATTATCAGAATGTATGAAACACTGATCCTTTTATAATTCTGCAATACTGCCTTAGACTGTCCACAAGTTTCATATAAATCAGCATTTAGTTTACGTAACATCCATTTAGAATAAATGTGATGTTGGCTGCTCTTCATAATGGAATCAAAACTTTAGCTCTGAAGGTTCAGATGTAATGGAAAGAAACAACACAAGTGTGGGTCTGAGATAAACATGGTAATAAACCAAAAAGGGGTAAGAACTCTAAGCAATTCACTCACACCATACTTCCAGGACAGCCTGAGCCAAAACCCCAAAGTAATCAAGCTTTCATTGATAGAAACACGAAACATTTTAGCATGTGCCAATTAACTCAAATCACAGAAAGTGCAATGCCAGCAAAGAATGAGCATTTTCCAGGAGTCATTTTAAAGCCTGGGCTAAAACTTAACAAGAGTATTTCATTTAAATTATGGTATCTGAGAAAAGTTATACCTTTGGGTAATGATCACAAAAACACGCTTTTATGGGGAATGGGGTTATGTCAGAAAAACTATAATAATTAATATTGCCTAAACATTTTAAAATGACATAAAAGTGATGTCTGATTGCCATTTCAGTATTTTTTGATACAGGTTGTTACTGTCCACTCTTTAGTAACCCGTTAACACACATATAACAGACTTCTGACAAATACTGAGAATCAATTATTTTCGAAAGTTAAACTTTTCTGAGACTTTAAGATTTGTATTTTGAACATACAGTACTACAATGTTGGCTATGTAAAATAAATAGAAAAATTTTTGAGAGAAAGCTCAATTAGCAGAGGCTGTATTGCATTTAAGGATCTAAAACTGCCTATCTACAGGAAGGAAAGCATTTCAACAAGAAATACTTCACATGTCACGGAGCTCTCTTTTAGTATGGCAACATCCAGGACCACTCCGACATTTAAAAGCAATAGGAAATAGTGGTATTCTTTTATCCTTTGGTTCTCAGTGACAAACAATGCAGTAATAATGCCTCTGGTTCAGTTCCTTTTGGATGACATTTATTAGCAGGGACAGACTTGATGCTTTAGCTGAAATTTGGCAGCCCAAGAAGTGCACCAACAGCTCCAAAGTATCCCTGTATAATTTTGAAACAAATATTAATGTAGTATAGTTTTTACCTGCTATGCCACTGTTCCGGCCCCTAATGTAGTACAGCTTTTAAATTAGCACACATTATTAACCACTCAGAGCACATTTATATATATGTTCATTCTAATTTCCAAGTTGTTAGCTCCTCTAAAATTTTTTCCTAAACTGTATTCTCAATAAATATGCCCACTTTTGAAATATGTATTTTCAATATGTATTTTTAAAATGTGGCTTCTGGACACTAAAGTTTTTAAGACTATTGCCAGCAATTCTATACCCTCTCCCTTTATTCAACAAAGAAACTAACTCCTTGCCATTCCACGAGACACTCTCCTCACCCACCAGACAGGGAAGCAAACACATACTTTCAATCTATGCTATTAATTGGTAATAATACAGTCATTTGACTTGGGACTATAATACTTCATCCAAAACATTATGTTGAACATTTAACTGGATAAAGTAAATGAATAATAAGAATAAATTCAAATGCAATGAGTGGGTGGAATTGTGGTGATAGTCAAGGAGAATTTTCATTGCTAAATTACACATTTCTGTGCTGTTCACATTTAACATCTGTAATCTCAGGAGAGGAAAAAAAGTGTGTGTGGGGGGAAACAAAAGAAACAACCCCTCCCCCACCAAATCCACAAGCAGCCACAGTATCTGCGCTGGTCACAGATCTCTTTTTGAAGAACTGTGAAGTTCTCATCTTAGTGGGGCAGTCAGCAGGTTACAGTAATTCCACTGTTCCCAACTAAAACTAAGTAATCAATACTCTACTGAAGTAAATACTCCACTAATTTTGTTTGTAAATACAAGAAGCAATATATAAAACCTACACAAAAAAGCATTCTATTAAAATTTACCAACTACTCTTTTTCCATCATACCTCATGCTCTAGAAACAGTGCTTTCAGTTGACCTTTGGACCAATAATCCAGTGCATATGCCAATAGCTTCATTGAGAGAGTATTGACACGTAAGAAGTTCCCAACAAAGACAACTCTGTTTATTTTCTGAAAGAACAAAGAGAGTGGCTTTTGACAACAGTCATTAAATAGATGTTAAAACACAGAGTGTACAAGATCTTTATCTAAAAATATAAAAAGTGATTTTTACTAGTGCCTACATTTCTGACATAGAGCTCTATAATCCTGAGTACTTAAAAATAATTTCTACATATTATGATACACTTATCAAAACCCATAGAATGGACAACACCAAGAGTGAATACCAATGTAAGCCAAAGCCTTTGGCAATGAAGGGTGTGTCAAAGCAGGTTCACTGAATCCAACAAATGTGTGCGCTGGTGGGGGAAGCAACAGGGAGAGCAGTGTGTAAGGTGAACAGCAATACTCTGTACCTTCCACTCAATTTTACTGTGGACCTTAAACTGCTCTAAAAAATACAATCAAAATACTTTGTTTTGGAAAGATCCTAGCAAGTGATTACAGGTGACTGTTTTCTGAAAATGGCCATTAAATAACTCATTTACCAAAGTTCTTTGGAGACACATCACTAATAGGATTAACGGAATCAAACAAAGGGAAAGTACTTTAAAACACATTTAGTATAAAATAAACAATGACATGTAAGTCTGAACTCAGTATACAGAGCTGGAGACAAACAGCGCCTGTGGTGCTGGCAAGTGAATTCAAGCCCTAGGATCTGGCATGCTCCTTTTCTAGTCTGATCCATCAAGCCATTCTCTCTCACAGAATCCACACTTGGGAATTCCACACATTCTCTTTCAGTCTCTCAAATTAAATAAAAATAAAAATTAAAAGAGAGGAGGATAGGCCGGCGCCGTGGCTCAATAGGCTAATCCTCCACCTTGCGGCGCCGGCACACCGGGTTCTAGTCCCGGTTGGGGCGCCGGATTCTGTCCCGGTTGCCCCTCTTCCAGGCCAGCTCTCTGCTATGGCCAGGGAGTGCAGTGGAGGATGGCCCAGGTGCTTGGGCCCTGCACCCCATGGGAGACCAGGAAAAGCACCTGGCTCCTGGCTCCTGCCAGGATCAGCGCGGTGCGCCGGCTGCAGCGGCGGCCATTGGAGGGTGAACCAACGGCAAAAGGAAGACCTTTCTCTCTCTGTCTCTCTCTCTCACTGTCCACTCTGCCTGTCAAAAAAAAAAAAAAAAAAAAAAAAAAGAGAGGAGGGTCCAGGACTGGGAGAAGACAGACCCATGGCTAAGGCATCTGCTGGGTGATACCACCTTAATAGAGATAGAATTTAAATCAAAAAAGAGAAAAATTTTATATCAGTAACTTAAACTTCCTCCTTTACTTTTTAAAGATTTACTTATTTATTTTAAAGGCAGAGAAAAAGACAGAGATGGGGTGGGGGGTGGGGAGAAAAGAGTGAGATCTTTCATCCCCTGGTTCACTCCCCAAATAAATGGGTACAACAGCCAGAGATGGTCTGATCTAAAGCCAGAAGCCAGGAGGAGCCTCTTCTGGGTCTCCCATGTGGGTACAGGGGCCCAAGCACTTCAGCCATCTTCCCCTGCTTTCTCAAGTGCATTAGCAGAGAGCTGGATCAGAAGTGGGGCAACCAGGACTTGAACCATTGCCCATATGGGATGCCAGCATTGCAGGCAGAGGTTTTACTCACTATGCCACAGCACCAGCTCTCCAATTTCCACCTTTAATAAGAAAACTACAGGGGCTGGTGTTGTGGCCTAGTGGGTAAAGCTGCTGCCTGTGACACTGGCATCACACATGGGGTGCAGGTCAGAGTCTAGCCTGCTCCACTTCCGATCCAGCCCTCTGCTTCTAGCCTGGGAAAAACAGCAGATGACGACCCATGTATTTGGGCCCCTGCTACCCATGTAGGAGGCCAGGACGAAGCTCCTGGTTCCTGGCCCAGCCTTGGCCATTGCGGATATTTGGGTGAGTGACCCAGTGGATGGAGGATCTCTGTAACTCTGCCTTTCAAATAAATAAATCCAAAAAAAAAAAAAAAAAAAAAAAAAAGAGAGAGAGAGAGAGATTCCACATTCAATACTTTTTTAAAGGTACCTCTACAATTAGAAAACCTTAGAACTGTTTATGAATCTCCAGAAAATCCACTTCTACTCTCACATTAAGTAACTGATGTTCAGATATAAATCTTGCACATGAGTTGTGTAAACTATGGCCAAGTGGTCAATGAAAATCTAGACCTAGAAAGAACAAAGGTCTCAGATTACTGTTAACCCCCAAAGTGAAATATTCCCAAAATCTAGGTTAAAAAGTGTATTAGTGACTCTGTCAATCAACTTATAATACTGGTGTTGAGAAACTGTAAGAGACAAAAACTATGAATTTGAACACAGAATGATTCAGAAGATTTATACAGTCGTTTTCTCTGCGGGAAGCATCTTCCCACAAACATTCAAATGCATGATTCTCCTACCTTCTTCTTATCTTTGTTCAAGGGTCACATTTTGAATGAATACTTCCTTAACTACCTAATTACTTGACAATCTGTCCTCTTCCACCCTCTGTCCTCCTCTCAATTCTCTTTAACCTATTTTCTTAAAATAGCATTTATCACCTAATACATACTAAATGATCTACATCACTAGAATAAATGTGGGATCTTGGTTTTCTTTACCAATATGTCATATTCCAAGTGCCTGGGAACAATGCCTGGTACACAGTACTCCATTTACTCCATGAATACACAAATAAATGAAGGGTTTCTTCAAAAAACAGTTATCTCAATCCATCTGAAGTATCTGCTATTTACAGAAATTTAACGGGAAACATTTCCAGTATATGAATGCAGCATTATACATATGTTCTCTTAAAAAAACCCTAACTATGTGGCCACTCTAGTAGTAGATGCTTATCATGGTTTTCTTAGAGCAAACAGTACACACCACTGAAGTATCATGTGAAGAGCGAGTCTCAATGCCTTCATAGCCCTGTACAATGCTGCTTGATCCATATGCAACAAGGCAGCACTGTAAAGAAGCCGAGGGCAGTAAGAAACTTCTAAGGATTTTGCTATCAATGGGAACATTGATAGGAAAAAACAAAACACTCTTAATAATTACTTATTTCAAGAGATTTAGGTGGTATATTTCTGAAAAGGTTTCTGACCAAATATAAAATGTCTAACATATGTACGTCCTTTTTCAACGTGAATGATCCTCAACTTTCTTTCAAGGTAAACAGTGGCTGAATATATAACATATATACAGGAATGTGCTCAAAGTGTCTTGGGATTAAATGGCACAGTTGTCAATCCTAAATACCTTCTTAAGGAAAACAAAGCCCTGCTATATGTATATAAAATTCTAATTCATGTTTATCATGTAATTAAAGTTTTTTTTTACCTCATTGACAGCACACATTCGTGCCACAGAACCGATGTTATTGGTGATAGTAACTAAGGTAGCTCTTGCCAGATCTTCTTTACTAACAGATTCTCTCTTCTCCTTATAAATCATATTCCCAAAACTGCAGAGAAATGCAAAACAAAGGAAAGTCAAATTTGCTGATAACAAGAACCATTTCAGATATTAGTAATCTATCTATAAGCTGGATTTTCTGAATAAAATTAACACCCAAACAAAAAAAGACAGGATAAGATCATAATAAACTAATAAAAACTATACATGCATAAAGTATTACTTTTAAAAAATAAGATTAAAATAAGTGTCAAAAAGGTTAGTTCTGCATAGAAGCAAAGATTACTAAAACTGCTTCAGTTTAAGACTTGATACAAAACAGTTAGATTAAAAGGTTATTTTAGGAAGTCAAGAGGAGAGAGGGAAGTACATTTGGACTTGCCTAAATAAAGGAAGTCAGATGGCATAAAGGACTAACTGTAACAGGAAACAAACCAACAGAACACAAAACTAAACCAACAAGCTACCTTGGGAACACAAACAGAAAAGAGCTTATGTTACGTGGTAAGAAGGAAAAAGCTTAGAAGATGCGAGGAAAGGCTTTTCAGAGGAGGATCAGAAAAGTTAGCAAAAAAGGGAAGGAAAAATCTTAGGCAAGGCACACAAAGGTTAAAGGCATACAGAAACAGGAACTGAAAACATCTATGAAATCTCAAGTAACACCAAATGGCTAGGGTGAAGCAACCATGTAAGGGAGAGACAAGAGATGCTGTTGAGGAGTCAGGCAAGTCCATTACCAACAAGCACTGAATGCCTTGACAAGGGACTGGGAATGCACAAGCAACAACCACTGACAAAGTATGATAGGAAACAAGACAAAAAATAGGAATATTTAGGGATAAATTAAAAAGCAATTGCACACTTAAATAAGGACTTAGAAATGTCTGAAAGGAACCAAAGTAGCCTTAAACAAAGACAAGCTAAATAAAAAGCTTTATTGCAAAGCATGTAATCTTCGATAACAAGATTTAACATCGTAAGGATGTCATATGCCTCTAAAATAATTAGTGCCTTCTGAAAACAAAAAAAAAACATAAGCTAGAGCTGGATCTCTACGTACCTAACACAAAACTCTAAGACAAACTATAAGTAAATCAAAGATTGAAATACCAAAAATACCATTACAGTATCATAAGAAAGTTAAGGGTTTATTCCTTTACATATTTGGAATGCAAAGACTTACTTACTATGAATCAATATCCAGAAGCCATAAGAGAAAAGACTTATAAATTCAACTGCATAACAATCCAGCAGAAAAGCAGAACATGAACAACTGCTCACAGAAAATATGTAAGGTTCTTAACCTCACTGTTGGTGAGAGAAATGCAAATTAAAATTTCTCTGTTGGTTTTACAAAAATTCAACAGTTTTAGAGCACATTAGTGGTGAAACTGCATGGTGAAACGGCACGTGAACAGGCACTTGCATCTGCTCCTGGTGAGGGTGCAGAATAGTACCACTCCTCTGGAGGGCATGCTAACTGTTACAGAATTCTTACTTCTCAGAATTATCCTACAAATAAGCCTGCACATGTGTAAAAGGAAGATAAATGATAATGTGAAAAGATTTCTAGATTATATAGCTATTTAGAGTAGATACAGTATGTTGTATGACAGTACAAAGTACACTACCTTTTGTAGAACAGGGGAGATACTACGGACATATATTCATATATGCATAGAACACAGGTGGAGAACATCCAACCCATGAGCCATATAATACCCTTGAAATCACTTGGTCTGGACCTGCCAAGGAAACAGCAGGCAGGACTCGAGATTTAATTAATCTATAGCAGTTTAATTTTTAAGTTGATAATTTTGTATGGCCTGTGAATGATGTTACAAATATCCAAATGGCCCCCAATCCTGGCACAGAGAAACACTGAAAAGATAATGAAGCACGATAAAAGTGGCTTCTTCTAAGGTGCTCTCAGAGTAGACTTCTCAACGTCTACTTAATCTGTAAGCCGCACCACAGTGCTTAACTTTGAACTTCCAATTTAAACTGGGTAAAAAGGAAACATCCTTATGACTTCCTGATAAACAGTTTTCTAAAAATGAAGTGGCCTGAAGAATCCCAGCATAAACATCAAACTTACCTAGATGCTACAGCCCAACCTGGTAGACCAAATCTTTCATAATCTCCTCCATAAATATCACGGACCAGCTTGTCTGCTTGGGTGCTGTCACCTTTGGATGCCATCTCAAGAGCCTCTTCAAAACTTTCACAGCCAGTCAGTAAGCTACATAAACCCAGAAAGGTACCCCCTCCAAGGCTAAAGAAAATAGAAAAAAAACTAGCTAAGATGTATGAATATACTGCATTCTTCCTTTGAAATTAAAGGTACATCATTAACTTATCCAGGGAACACACAGAAAAACCCAGTATTAATGCTGAGTGCTGAAGTATCAACATAACAGAGAAAGGCAACAAAAACTGGCTGGTAAAATCACACTTGTCATATCTCCCCATTGTTTCTTAAACGGGAGCCTACATTTCTTCTTCTTCTTTTTTTTTTTTTGACAGGCAGAGTTAGACAGTGAGAGCGAGAGACAGAGAGAACCCTAAATGGCCAATACGGCCGGCGCTGTGCCGAAGCCAGGAGCCAGGTGCTTCCTCCTGGTCTTCCATGTGGGTGCAGGGCCCAAGCACTTGGGCCATCCTCCACTGCCTTCCTGGGCCACAGCAGAAAGCTGGACTGGAAGAGGAGCAACTGGGACAGAATCTGGTGCCCCAACTGGGACCAGAATCCAGGGTGCCAGCGCTGCAGGCGGAGGATTAGCCAAGTGATCCACGGCGCCAGCCTATATTTCTTCTTAAAAGTTGATATACACAAAAGGAAAAAACTTAAATATCATTTCGCATTCACTTCATGTATTATAGAAACTTTATGAGCTATTTGGGAACAATAATATACTCCCATAAGGAACTCAAAATGATTTCATCATATAATAATACTGCAGTCTAAATGTGAAACTATTCCACATTTGGCAAGCTTGAATATATCAACAAAAGGTTTAAAATGAAGAAATAACAACACTTTGGGAAAAAAGAGATTCGAGAGTTCTACAATGAATAGAATGCCGTCATATCCAAGCAAAGGCTCTCACGTTAAATTCTGGAAAAAATATTACTGGAATCAATTATTCCAGATAAAACTTTCACTCTTACCATTATCAAAGTTTTGGAGTTGACTGATGTAGAGCAGTTATATCCAACAGTTACAGTCTGAGTCTTTAGAGTTTCAGTCTTTATTCACCTCATAAAAAAGATAGTATTTGCCACATTTTAACTTACACATCTACATTTTCTTACTGTTGCACAAATCCAAATTATTTTTCTAGAGAAATCAACATCAATATATTGTGCATGGAACAATGTAAATGCTGCACTAGGACCAAAAAGTCTATTACCTCGTCCCAGTCACTCGTTTGTAGTTATCTTTGGAATGGACTGCTAAAATACTGACTCCAGAGCCGATGTTCACCACCAGCAGCGGATAGGGATCATCCAGGTTAAAAGGCATCTTTTGGCATCGCTCAGGTTCTGAGGCATTAGCAAAATAATAGCACTCTGCTTGTCCATTGAAACTAACAGAATCTATATACAGCAAGCCCTTTACAAGGCAGTCAAGTTCATCCAGTTTGTGCAGGTGGAGGTTTCCAATCTGTAAAAAATAAAATTTTTAAAAACTAAGAGAAAGGACTACGTTCCAAACTGGCTTCAAATTTATGAACTCTGTTCAACTGAAATAAAATATAAATTACCATTATCCAACCAAAAATTTTTATAAGAACTTAAGATATTTAAATTATCCCACATTGTAAGGGGCTCCCTTACGTAGGTAAATTTTCTTACATGGTCCTCATCTACACTTCAAGGGAAAGAAATTTCAGTAGCCCCAAATACAACTTTAAACTCTATAATCCAAAAGACCTGGCCTAAGACTACATAGCTCAATATTCATTGTCCCTTTGACACAGGACTATGGTAGGGTTGTGGTATAAAATCAGAAAAACAGAGTAAAAAATAATTTTTCATTCAAGTTATTTACTAAGATACTGGTTTCCAATCTTGGGGTTCAAGGAGAGATGAGCATAATGGTGGTTAGAATGCTTGTGTCCCATAGTGGAGTGCCTGGGTTCCATACCTAGCTCTAGCTCCTGATTTCAGCTTCGTACTAATGTGGACCTATGAAACAGTGGTGAAGCTCAGGTAGCTGGGTTCCTGCCACCTAAGTAGGGAACCTTTCCTGGCTCTTGGCTTCAGCTTCCCTGCCATTACAGGCATTTGAAGAGTAAACCAGCTGATGGAAGAGCACTGTCTTTCAGATACACAAAAACAATAGAAACAAAACCCAACCATGGAAAGATGGGACAATAATACAGCAAATAATTGAAACCCAGTTTATATGTCTTTGCATACTGCCAAAAATTCACTGAAGATTCCACTCACCCCTTTTATTGTAACTCTGTGGTACTTAAGATTTTACCAAACATTACACACAATAACATGCCCAAACTTTCCATAAAAGTGTTTAAAATGCCCTCCAAACAAAGCTAGTCATGAATACTAACTTCCCATACATCCTCAGTGCGAACTTATCTAAGGGACATGGTAGATAGAAACCTAGCTACACATTTAAACAACTGAATAGAACGAGTGATCAATTTTTGGTTTACAATAAGGTATACTTACTGTGCGAAAATCTTTTTCAAACTTGTAAGCACCACCTCCTGTAGCACATAGCACCGTTTGTAATGTTGAGAAGTTTTTATCTCTTCCCATTTGGATAAAAGTGGGCAGATCCTGGGTTGGAAATCTGATAAAGTGCAAGTTCCCCCTTCTGCCAAAAAGTGTTAAATCTTTCAGTTCAAGATGTACATCCCGAATACCAGTGGATCCATACGCTACATTAGATGTCAAATATTTCCGAATACTTTTTAAGCTCTCAACTTCTTCTTGTTCTTCCTCTGCTGTGATATCAATAGGTTCAAAATATGAGAGCTTTACGAGAGTCCCTCCAATGTCCATGCCAAACCATGGGAAAGCTGTGAATTAAAAAACAGAGTATCTATTTTAGGAACACAAACTAGAAACTAGTTAATTAACCACAAACATAATTTATCCTTAATCATTCATTCAGGTCAATAACATTTATCGGGTGAGGTGGCCACTGTGGTGTAGTAAGTTAAGCCACTACTTGGGATTCCTGCCTACTTTTATTTAATCAAAGATTTATTTATTCATTTGAAAGGCAGAGGTAGAGAGGAGAGACCTACCATCCGCTGATTCACTCCCCAAATGGCTGCAATGGCCAGGTGGGCAAGACCGAAGCCAGGAGCTTCATCTGGATTTCCTATGAGGGTGAAGGGGCCCCAAGAACTTGGGCTACCTTCCACTGCTTTCCCGGGTACATCAACATGGAGCTTGATCAGAAGTGGAGCAGCCAGGACTTGAACTGGAGACCATACGGGATGCTGGCATAGCAGGCAGAGGCTTAACCTAAATCACAGAGCTGACCCCTACTCTGCTTTTGATCTAGCTTCCTGCTAATCTGCCTGGAAGGCAGCAGACAATGGCCTTATCACCTGAGTGCCTGCCACCTACATGGGAGACCCACAGGATTCCAGACTGCTGGTTTCAGCCTGGCCCAGCACTAGCGGTTGTGGGCATTTGGGAATTGAGTCAATCTGTCTTTCAAATAAATATTCTTTTAAAAAATAATATTTACTGGGGGAAGACACATCTTCTATGTGCAACTCACATGCTTTTCCTTCAAAGTTTTATCTGTATATTTTCCAATAACCAAACATACAACAACTTTTTCCATTCCTACTCTGATAGGTGTTATATTTCATTTATTAAATACTTGCATGACCCAGTAGATGAGAATTTGGGCAATTTTGTTTCAATAAATAGATTATCACTAGAAGCGTGAAAAATCTTTTTTAAAGATTTATTTATTTGAAAGGCAGAGAGTTACAGAAAGGCTGTGGCAGAGAGATTTTCCATCCACTCATTCACTCCCCAAATGGCCACAACAGTAGGAGCTGGGCCTATCCAAAGCCAGGATTCTAGAGTTTCCTCTGGGTCTCCCATGCGGGTTCAGGGGCCCAAGGACTTGTGCCATCTTCTATTGCTTTCCCAGGCCATAGCAGAGAGCAGGATAGGAAGTAGAGCAGCCAGGATTCAAACTGGCGCCCAACTGGGATGCCAGCACTGCAGGCAGTGGTTTTCCCCGCTACACCACAGGGCCGGCCCTACAAAATCTTTATTATTAAGTTTTTAATATAATCAAATCAGCCTATAATCATGTCAAGCAATCCATGGGAAAAGGGTCTCCATAAAACAAAACAAAACCTTCTTTTTGCTCACTCAGCATATTAGATTTCTTTGGTACTTCCAGTTAATAAAATTGGCTGTTCATAACGTTGAAGGTAAGTCTTCTTAGGTACCAGCACACTCAGGCAAGCAGTACTCAGGTTTCGGACTTAGTGTTCTATAACTGGACTATGGGACTCTGGAATAGCCATTAGCCTCTCTGACTCTTAACTCTTAACTACTTTCAATACCTAATTACTGAGTATCTTCTCTACACCAGTGAATGGGAATGTAACAAGACGAAGATAAAAATCCTACCTTCAGGGAGGGCTCCATCTGGTAGGGGAATATAAATATAAATACACAAGAATGAGGTAGACAAAATAAAATTATATAGACCAAGAGACATACAGACCAAGAGAAGGAATGCTAAACTCCCCATGCCTGCGTTTGAACATAGGGAATAATGAAAATAAAAACAGCCTATCCAAAGGCAGAGGACTGTCAATAGAGCTTTGGAATCAGGAAAAAAGCCTAAGGCAAAAATGGCTACAACAGCTGGGGCTGGGCCTTGAAAAAGCCATCTTGAGCGATCAGCTGCTGTCTTTCCAGGCTCATTAGCAGGAATTTGGGTTGGAAGCAGGGCAGCTGGGACTCAGAGACTGGCATTCAGGAACAGTTTATTGTCAGGATCAACAACTTTTAACAGTGAGATCTGAAACCTTGAAAAAAAAATTTCAATGTTTACTTATTCAGAAAGTTACAGAGAGGGGGAGAGAGAGAGACCTTCCACTGGTTCACTCCCCAGATGGCCACAATAGCTAACACCAGGCCAGGTTAAAACAAAGAGCCACCAGCTTCAAATGGGTCTCCTATGTGGCTGGCAGGAGCTCAAGTACTTGGGCCATCATCTGCTACTTCCCCAGACCATTAGCAGGGAGCTGGAGAAGAAGTGAAGCAGCTGGGACACAAACTAGCACCCACTATGGGATAGCAGTGGCTTTACCTGCCGTGCTAAAATGCCAGCCCATTTTTCTTTTTAAAGATTTATTTATTTTGAAAGTTGGAGTAACACAGAAGAATCTAATCAGTGCTCATCATTTCAGGCAGGGAAAGCCAAGACACTACAGCAAAAAAATGCCCTATATTAAGGATCTCTGAGACCCTAGCAGATAGGGCCACCAAAGGAGGATGTACTTTTCTCTGAAGGGAGGAGAGAACTTCCACTTTGCTTACGGCTTTGTCTAAATACTGATGAAGATCGTGCTCATATGGGACGCTGGTGTCACAGGCAGCAGCTTAACCCTGTGCACCACAATGCTGGCCCTAATCTGGGACTCCTATTTCCTTATATTTATTGGTCATAATCCTTATGTAGACACAGGTAATAGTTTATCATTATTCCAAGGCTGGGGAAGAAAATAAGTATCCTATTGTGAACTGTGAAATTCTTCTGAGAATTAAAGCACAATGATGCAGTTTTCCATAGAACCCCAGGAAACATTTGTTGAGTACTCACTACCTGCCAGATATATGCTGATCACATGTACTGGCTCTTTCAATCCTCCATGCCTCTAGGATAAGGCTGCCCCAGTACTTGTGTCACTTCACAGACAAGGAAAGGAGACAGATTACAGACAAAGGTCAATTCATTAATAAATGGGAAAGAAAGGATTCCATACTAGAAGGTTTCTTTCTGTGCTTTGGTACCATGTAACAAAGGCTTAAAAATAATTCAATACTTAAAGCTATATGGATTATAAAATACCTGGCCACAAAATATATTCAATAGTTTTTTTACATTTCTTCATTTTAGAATCTATACATTTACTAAAATGAGAACATGATTTTGAGTATGAGGAAGGAGTGACTCTCATTATCTTCTTCTGGAAGACACAGCTCATTTCTTTTTATATTGGATACCCAAATTGTAGACCCAGAACTACACTAAACACAATCTTAAAAAACAAAGTTTTTTAAAGAAAGAAAATGATTTTATTCTTAATTTGGTAAGCTAGGAACAGGTAGCAAGATCCCAAAGAAGCACCAGATATTTATGCCATCTACAGAATGACGTAAGTAATCAGGAAGCAACAGAAGCAGGTAAAACTGATCAAATCTTTTCAATTTTCTGAGGTAGCTAGTAAGAGAAGCCATTTTATACGACTAACACTCTTTTTGTGAAAACATACAATAATATACTTTCAGGAAACATAACTGTGGCATCAGTAAGTTTTGCTTGCAGTTTACTAAAGAAATCTACAGGGGCTGGCGCTGTGGCGTAGCAGGTAAAGCCACCGCCTGCAGTGCCAGCAGCCCATATGGGCGCTGGTTTGAGTCCTTGGCTGCTCCACGTCCGATCCCGCTCTCTGCTATGGCCTGAGAAAGCAGCAGAAGATGGCCCAAGTTCCCACGAGAGAGAGATAGAGAGAGACAGAGAAGAGAGAGAGAGAGAGAAAGAGAGAGAGAGAGAGAGAGAGAGAGAGAGAGAGAGAGAGAGAAAAGAAATCTAACTTCCTCTCTAAAAAAAATTCACATCAGGAGTCAGGAACTCCACTTTGGTTTCTAGCATAGATGGCAGAAACAAAAAGTTACCTATCACTTCCCTGCCCTCACTTAAGCCCTATGTCCAAACAAATTAGTTAGCAAGAAGCAGTATCAACAATTACAGAGGGGGAAATTCACACCCAGAGCATTTGCTCAAGTAACACTCAAAGAAAACTAGAGGTCTGATTAAATCAACCAAATAGAGTCTTTGAGGATTGCCCCTATCTGACAAAAAGCCATGTAATTAAGGCACTTTTCAGTGGGTGTTTAAAGAAATCTGTGATATTACACAGAAAAATGAACTTTCCTATTAGATGCTTGATTCTTTGGGGAGGGGTTGAAATCACTACTCCAGAAAGTACCTTTTGGAACAGAAACATTTCCACAATGTGACATTTATTAATCCCAAAACCTTTACTTCTCAAAATCCAATACTGATTTTAAAAATCAGTATTTACAGTTTTTTTTTTTTTCTGTGCCTCATGTCAAATGTGTCAAAATATGCCTAGAATTATAAAATGTTGCTCAGGGAGCAAACTACAAAGCTAAAGCATTACAACAGGTTCAAAGTTCATACTAGCTGCCTCTGCTCCCAGGTTTATAAATACCTCAATACTATCATTCTTGAAAGCAAAACCTCCAATTAACACTGACATGAAGAACTTTTAAACTCTCACACAAAACCATGAATTAAGCTTTAAAGGAAACTTACCAGCCAGAAAAATATTCCAAGTTAACACATACTGGGGAATAAAAAATACTTCCTTTTCTAAAACTATGAATAAGTTCCAAAATTTCTAATTCCAAAGGTTTACCAATAGGCAGCTCCACAATATATACTCTACTCTGTAATGCATGCAGTGAAGTAGTAAAGATACATGTTCAAACCACACACACCTTTCTCCCTCTCTCTGGAGTTTATAGTACAAAGGCTATCAGTACAATGATACCTCAGAAAGTTCCACAGGAAACAGTATTAAAAGATTAGTTTGATGCCGAAAAAACCCTCAAAATCTGTAATTTTTACCATAATACACATTTTCCATGAACTTTGGAAGACTCCTTGTATGTGGTGTGGTCCACTATCCCATGCCCTTCTCTCCCACCTGGCAGAAACAATGTATTTTGAAGTTTGAAGTGTTAATATTGACTCTCTCAGATAAAGAAAATCATTATTTAG